GGAACCAGAAACTAAGGCCTAACAAGCATGCCCTCCCTGCAAGGCAGTACAGATGTAAGCATCAGCCACAGGCCACATGGCCTTTTTTTTTTTTTTTTTTTTTTTAATATAAACAGCTTCCCCAGACCACACAGCTGACAATATGTACAGATCCTTGTTGCTGGAAGTGTTCCCATGGGTGCACATGCAGTAAAAAAAAAAAACACACAGTAGAGCTACTTATTACTAGCTTGCACGTGCAATCACATTGTATGAGCAACTTAGGCAAGTGAGCCCTTAGCATTTTTGGTTATATGATGCATTGACAGAAGTAGGTCAGGGATATATTAGCTATAGATTTCTCTATACACACATACACATGTATTGAAGAAGTAATAAGGCGTTCCTTCTATACAGTCTTGGCCCAGTCTGTCCTGACACATCTTGCTTCTTTGCAGGGTGACACATTTAAGGCTGAACTGTAATCATGGAAGTCAGTAGGAGTCTTTCAGGCCCCATAATGGACTTTTACTCATCTTAAAACTGTTACTTGCTTTTCATATTATTTTCAGCATGAACCTGATGGATAACGACCAAAATGGAGACACTCTGGAGTCGCTCTCTGGCCAAATGGAAGGCTTACCAAATTGGATTTCTGAGCAGTATTTAGGTACTTACCCTGGGTATTGTGAGTAGTACTCTTGATAACTTTCCTTCCCCACCTCCAGGTGGAACTTGGTTATGTTTTGGTAGTCTCTTAGTTCAAACTAATCCTCTCCTCCACACATCCCCATCCCAAAGTAAGTCTCCTTCATCTTCTGTACTCCAGCATTTTTATGGCCTCATAAGACCTTGCCAATATCACCTTGTTTTTGCTGTTAAGAGGCAAATAAATGTAAAAATGCTGGGCTTCAATACAGCATAGTATCCCAAAGGAAACCATCCAAAGATGCCATTGTAGCTTCTAAAATGTAGAGTGTATTGGGAAAAAAGTTACTTCAGGCATCTAAGGGTCTTCTGCACCTGTTGTAGCAAAGGATGCTAGGCATTTGTTTTGCCAGTGAAAACAAATAGCTGGCATTTGGAAAGGGCTACTGGTATTTATGCTTCTTATGCCATTTAGTGGGAAGAGGGGCAACTTGGATAACTGATTTGTTTGGTGTCACTGGCCACACCTGCACGAGCAGCAGACTGCAGTTGTTACCGCACAGTCGTATAGTACTTGCTTAACCAAGTACTAAATGACTGCACAGTAACCAGCATTACTGAGCAATACCGTCACTGCATGGGGTTGGCTTGTTGTTTTTTTTTTTTTAGATGCTATGGTACAGTGCCCATTGCTACTTTGCTGTAGATTCGCCAACACAGTTGGTGCCTAGTGACACAACAGTTCTGTAGCAATGAGCTATGGTGCAGTAGCTCATTGCTACTGTGCCATAGCATCTTGTGTAGATGTGCCCACAGTGAAGCAAAGATAGGTCAGGGTAGAGCACAGGTCTCCTGACTCAGCCTCTGCTCTCCAACAGCTGAACCCTGCTGCCTCAGTGGGCATTAAAATGCACCCAACAGGCAGCAGTTTATTTTCACCCCCACCTAAAGAAAACCAGTATTTGACTCCTTTTACATAGGCCAGGAACAACCTTTTTTTTTTTTTTTTTTTTTTTTAGTGCTGAGTTAATTTGCAATCATTTTTGTGTGCATCTATTATGTTCACTCCTGTAATGCCTATACCTGTGAATATAGATTTTGATAATATTCATGATTCAGGAAGTGTTACTCATGAGAAAACATGAAACAGCACATTTGTCCAGGTATTGAGATACAGATGGGGAAGGGCATCAAGCTGTGGGAAATTACCTCAAGTGCTGGTGATAGTGAAATAAAAACCACATGCTCCTCTGGGACTCAAGCAGTGAAGTATGGGAATCAGCTGCTACAGCAAGCACCTACTTGTTTATATACCTCCTGCAGTTGGTATAATACTTTGGCTTTCTGAATGGCTTTGCTTCTGAATTCAGCTATTGATGTAAAGCATTTTTTATATTATAGGCAGGTCTCTAGCAGCTGAGAAGTCAAGTAGTTGAGGCTCATTATTACTGAAACTAAACATTTCAATGTGAGATGCAAGAAATGTTTCAAATTAACTGTAAACCAAGAATGCCAACCTAATGCATGGGAAAATATTCAGTTTGCTTGATCCAGGACAGAAAGACCTGGGGTGCTGGGTTCTCAGAAGACAGTTCTCAAAAATCCCAACTGGAACAAACTCAGCTGCACTGAGTTAGCATTTAACTTTTTTTTTAAACTGTCATAAAAACAACAAATGTGAACTACATTTGAAAAGCTTACTGGTCTGAGCAGCACAGCAGGAAAAACTTGGTGGTCTCCCTCACTCTTTGTAGTCATCCTGATGTATAAAAGCTAATGATCTATCTGAAAAGATGTTCCTGTTCTTCCAGAGATACTTGGCCGGGGTCTCTTCTGAGACTTTGAGGAAGACTCGCTTAGCTCAGTGAAGCCATGAAGAAGGGTTCAAAAGGCTAGTGTGGGAATAAAGAGGGTTACACCTGGGGGAAGAGACAGGGCAGGTGCATATAAAGAACTGAGCTCTTCAAATATGCCCACCAGTGTTCTTCAAATATGGGAGTAGATGGAAGGTGCTGAAGAGATTTAGTGGGGAAAGGGCTCTCTTAAAACCTTTAAAAATAAAAATCCTCAGCCAGGTTACTGCAGAGTGATCTGTTATCATGATCACTGGAACAGTGAGTCATCCCTTGAAAGGCATGTCAGCAACGTGACACTCGTCTGTGTGGAATGTGCTGGCAGTTCCCACGCTCGCAATGAATTGGGGGAACTGTATGGCAGAGGTTTTACTCACTCTACTTGATGCCGAAGGGGTGGGGGGAAATCAAGGTCAGAAATCAGAAAAGATGTAAAGAAACATGTTAGACTGCCCTGGGTCTACATACTCCCAGTGGAAAACAGTCACACCTCATCTTACTCGCATGCAGAGAGGCCTAAAGCCAGTCAGTGGGCGCATCTACACAAGATGCTAGAAACACAGTAGACTAATTCTACTGCGCATTATCGCATTAGTCTACTCTGCATTAGCATCACCTAAAAGATGTGTGCTAGCACTACTGCGCAGTAGCACCAACTACGGCGCATGAAGAGTGCCTATAGACAAGCACAGAGGTGCACCGACATGCTGTAATTACAGCAAGTAATTGAGTCTGTAGGAGCATGGTAATTACTAGACGCCAGCAGCCAGAGCCAATCCTAAGGGGGTGTGAGGCCCCCTTAACACTGTGCAGGGCCATGGTACCCCCATAAATGAGGGGGGTCTCCATGCTTCTTCTGCGGCGCAGGGCTGTTGCCAGCTCCAGGCGGGCCACGTGGAAGAGGCTGTAGCAGTTTCACCCGGCTCCGTAGGGCCGGCAGCAGCTGCCCCGATTCTCCATGCCCTAGGGACGGCTCTGCCAGCAGCCTCCCACATCTTGTGTATCAGTATCCCTGTGCTTCAAAATACCTGTGGGTATGCTTGAACCAAAGCTTGTTTGATGAGCTCTAGTTCAAGTGCCCACACCACTATTTCAAAGTGTGGGGACACTGATACTCTCAGAGCTGCTCTAACTGAAAGCACTGCCTCCCCCTCCCCCCTGGAGCAGATGAAAAAAGTACTAATTTAATGCACGATAATTACAGCACATTAATGCATGTGTAGACATGCCCAGTGTGTTCAACATAGAAGCAGGCTTCATTATCTTATCAGCTCCTTGATGCGTGCAACAGACTAGCTTTCATTCCTTTATATGTGGGTTGTGGTAGTGACACAGTAGTTAAACATTAGGATAACACAAATGGTTGATTTGACACTTAACTTTTCATCCACATCAGGCTAGCATTTGGACATAATAATTCATTGCTCTAAGTTAATTAGTTCAGGTTGATTTAAATGAATGGCTTATACTTTCTGGATTCTCAAGCTATCCTTACTTCATATATGTGCATTAGACAAAAAAATCTGACAAGCTATAGCTTGGATTTAAGGAAGCAGTGACTTGGTGAATGATGACAAGAAAATAAGATTTTATTGTTTCGAACTGAGGCCTAGAAGGGACAGATGTGGCAGACAAACAATTATAAAACACTATGCCAGGCTCCAAGACTTGTGAGAGGAGACAGTAAAGCAGCTTTGTGGGGAAATAGGACTTTGAACTTCTGTGGTAGCACAAAGAAGGAATGGGAAAGCCACGGGACTGTTGTTTTTTCTTGCATCTAGATTTAAACAACTGAACCTTTGGTTACAGAGCAGATGAAGGCTGAAAGTCTGGGGTCCAAGAACAGTAGCCTTCCCAGCACTTTTTCCCATTCCCTAGTTAAAGTGCTGAAAAGCCAACACTCAATTTGTTATTTACACTGAATGATTACTTATGAGATTGTAACAAACTCACTTCTACATCACCTCAGCTGAAATCTGCCTTCAATGAATCATGAAAAAGAAAATCACCCACCACAATTTTAGCTTGTTCTATGTTAAAGGCACTTTAAAGTCCTTTAAGAATTTCTCCAATTACTGACTCTTTCATAGAATACTTTAGACTTAAAATTAAGAGACTTGAAAACCATATTTAACTCTAGCAAGAAAATGCAGCTAAAGTCAATAAAAAAGAAATGACAAGTAACGAGCTTACTAGCCAGTGAAGTCTCTGTGGGCTTCCCTTATTGGATTTAATCAGCTTTAAAACAGAACATTATCTTTAAGAACTTCTCTTTATGATTGGGAGAAATTGAAGCAGGAAT